AGAGGGCAGAGGGCTTCCCGCAGGCGGGGGCGGCCCCCCGCCTCTGCGCTCACGGCTGGCCTCCTCCAGGGCCTGGGTGGGCCCAGAAGCTGAGCCAGGCTGGAGCAACGCTGCTCAAGGTGCCGCTGATGCTCGCATTCCTCTACCTGTTTGTCTGCTCGCTGGACGTGCTCAGCTCGGCCTTCCAGCTGGCAGGAGGTAGGGCTGCAGCCAGGAGGTGGGGCCTGGACAGGGGGCCAGAGGGAGGGGCCCCAGGGCCTTGGACAACACTGACTCATGCTCCCCAGGGAAGGTGGCTGGTGACATATTCAAGGACAACGCCATCCTGTCCAACCCAGTGGCGGGGCTGGTGGTGGGGATCCTGGTGACCGTGCTGGTGCAGAGTTCCAGCACCTCCACCTCCATCATCGTCAGCATGGTCTCCTCTGGCTGTGAGTTGAACAGGGGCTAGGGGGTCAGGGCTGCAGGGCTGGGGACGAGTGGGGAAGGAGGTGGGGAGGGGAGGGCTCCAGCACGTCCTTCTCTGTCCTCTAAAGCATGGCTGTGAGGGCCAGTGCCATAGCCTAGTGGTTAAGGGGGCTGGATCCCATGTGGCCAACTGCAGGTTCGAGTCCCAGCCCCAGCGTCTGGAACATGCTGGGTGTGTGTGCCCAAAAGCCCACCGGCCTGAGAGATGGAGACCGGATTGCAGTGTGACTGCACCCTGGGGAGTGCTTTCTCTCCTCCCTGTCTCTCTGGCAAGGGCACGGGCTCTCTGGTAATCAGAGGGGGAAAAATAGAGCATAGCCAAGAGTCTGAGCCAGGAGGGGTGCCAGGACCTGGGAAGGGTACGAATGGGGACACAGCCCCACGCAGGGTCGCACCCACTTGGCAACAAAATTGCTCCTTGCTGCAGGGAGCGGGGAAAGCAAGCCTGCTGATCTACATATACAGCAGGTTACTGCACGGGGTCGGCTCATGGACTATGCGCGGGGCACGTCTGAGGTCCGTGGGGCAGGGGCTGGCGGGCAGGCTGGCCCTCTCGGGCAGGAGCCAGCGCTGTGTCCACGGGTGAAATTCTTCCTCTTTGGTCCAACTGGACGAGGCCCGAGGCTGTCGAGGACGACCTCCCTTCCTGCCAGCCAGTCAGCAGGCCCCCATCCACAGACACCTTCCTGAGCATGGCCAACTGGGCATTGCAGCCCACTGCGTTGACCACAATCACTCTCGTGTGCGTGCACACACAAGCACCAACGTGTATTTACACGAGACATGGACCTTCGCAGCACGCCCACACACTCCTGTTCACATGCACACACCGTGTACATGCATGAACATCTCGTGTGTGTGTGTGTGTGTGTGTGCACGTCAACACATATCACGTGCCCATGTGTACTTGGGATGGGGTTAGGGCTCAGCAGCACTGTGGGGACCGCGCCCTGGGGCTAGGGTGGGGGATGGGCCTGGCAGAGCAGGAGTGGGGGCAGGCGGCGGCCCCCAGGTACCAGGCACCAGGCCCCTCTCTGCAGTGCTGGAGGTGAGCTCCGCCATCCCAATCATCATGGGCTCCAACATCGGCACCTCTGTCACCAACACCATCGTGGCCCTGATGCAGGCGGGGGACAGGACTGACTTCCGGCGGTGAGGGCGTGGGTGCTCGTCTGCGGGGGGGGCAGCCCCTCCTGTGTGAGCGTCCGGGCCCCTCCTGTGTGAGCGCCCGGGCCCCGGCCTGCCCTGCAACATGGTCTCCCTCCCAGGGCCTTCGCAGGGGCCACTGTGCACGACTGCTTTAACTGGCTGTCGGTTCTGGTCCTGCTGCCCCTGGAGGCTGCCACTGGCTAACCGCACCCC